TCACTCATGCGTCCGACTGTAAGTTGATGCACCAGCCAGAGCGATTAATACGAAGCACACAAACATTAAGACATACTCACATAGGCTCTCTCATCCGTGCCAGACCTAACAGACTAGGTCACGACCATAACACATGTTCCTTTCGTTCGAGCGAACGAAAGGCACGGTGAATCGTATTGCAACGCAGCAGTTTTAACCTGACATTTCTTCACTTTTTGGCTCTAGAGATTTATTTAGCCTTGGTTTAGTTTCGTCGCTTCTCGACACTATGGCTCCATAATGCCCGATGCACCTCTTCAAGGCGACATCATTGACTGGGCGATCACACTGGGCGGCTCGGACATTATTTTACTCCCAGGGAGAAAACTTTGATCTCAAAGAGGTCTCAAGTTTTGAGACGGGAACACATGAAAGCTCTATTTTGGCGGGCCTGATGGTCAGAATTCTTGAAATGATCGAATCATGCTTGCGTTCCGGCGTGATTTCGGAATACATGGGGTTCAATTTTTTTATTATGCTGTTTTTTGCTATCCGTACCGATTTTTAGTGTTATGAGACATACCAACGGAACGCAAGTTTTACTCGAAAATGCCATGGAACGCACTGTCATCAGCTTATTCACTTGGTGCACCTGCTTGGGCATCGATCTTGGTATGACTCACCAATTTCAGATGTCTGTCGCACACAGATGCGGCGTCGCTACCTGCGCGCACTTGCTGTGCAAGTGCGTGGGCAGTTGAACGAGACCAACTGCCGAGCACAGGACAGTTGAATTGACAGCAGTCCTGCTTGGTTAACTTGGTCATGCATGTTATGATTGGAACCGTGGGGAAGGATGGCTGCTGCAGATATGAAAATGTGCGCAGCAAGATGTGGGAGTCGACTGACATCAACGAAATTCTGCGTGCGTACTGGTCTGAGAACGCCTGACCAAGTCAGTCTGCAGGTAGCAATATACGGAATATTTTCGCTCAGTTCAACGTGCCGTAGGACTCTTGTTCCATTCGTGTGTAGTATTTCTTTGAAAGAAATCATTCAATTGAATTGGAAGACAGGAAGCACTTCCATACTGTTCTGATGTCAAATACGGCGCTTCGCGATGAATATAAGACATTTGTATTCTGGTGAAAAACGGGGAGACTTGCGCTAGAGAGACTGTTGGGGCATTCACGCACACATTAGGAGGGCATTTGGCGATCAATCTATGTATGAAATTCGAAGAGAGATATAGAATATTGTACCTGAAACGCACATACGCTACTACATCATGTTTGTTGCTGACAGTAGGTGAACAGTCATGGTTCATAGCGCGCATTCGTCCATGTCTTCTTAGACTAGAAGTTTCCTTGGCTTCTGTGGAACTTCGATAACCGTTTCATCCCTAACAACTTCCGAAGCATGTGTTAAAGCGAGCGAGAAACACGTGGACTCCCTTGAAAATTATTGATATCCCCCTCAGCAAACAACTACTTACGGGTACCGGTGTAACGGGCACGCTACTGATAAAGCGTGCGAGTAGTCTCTGGTCTTGTGTCCGCCCCCGCGTCTGATGGAAGATGAAGTTCACTAAGTAAATTGCTTTGCAGTGTTCGTTTACTATTGTGCAGTAGTCAATGAATATCCAGGAAAGTTCAGGTGAATACGTCAGAATGTTCGGTTTCTAAGGACCATGTACATGTGGGATGTTTACTTTTCTGTCTAATGACTTGTAACTGCTTAGTTCGTGTTTGTTACTAAATGATTTCCATGATTGCCATTTAATCTCACACCAGACCCAGTATGACGGTCACTTTGTGCCTGATGTGCGAGTCTTGACTGTGCTAGCGCACACTGCGCCTTGAAGAGCATTCACCATTGTTTGTCCTTTCTTTGGTTGTTGGTCTTTAGACGCGGAATACGTCAGAATGTTCGGTTTCTAAGGACCATGTACATGTGGGATGTTTACTTTTCTGTCTAATGACTTGTAACTGCTTAGTTCGTGTTTGTTACTAAATGATTTCCATGATTGCCATTTAATCTCACACCAGACCCAGTATGACGGACACTTTGTTGCCTGATGTGCGAGTCTTGACTGTGCTAGCGCACACTGCGCCTTGAAGAGCATTCACCATTGTTTGTCCTTTCTTTGGTTGTTGGTCCTTAGACGCGTGTCCCCATACCAAAATCTTTACATACTTTGGGATTCACCTCATCAGACTGACACTGTCCTTGGCATGATTTCGAATGAGACGTTTCTCTCTTTTCTCCCATATTCTCCTGTTACTCTTTCGCATCCATCGCTTGCACTCACTTTTTATGTTTGTGACCATACTCTTCAAAAATAAATGATAATAATCCTTACTCCTTTCACCGGCACCAGATTCATCTGTGTAAAACCCGTTCGGTTGGGCTTTATATATGCATCAAGGAACAACGGATCTTGTTTTAAAATGTCCGGTCGTTTTCAATTACCAGGATTTTCCGTGAGGTCTTTATTCTTAGCGAATTTTTTTGTTCCCGTCTTTCCAGTGTCAAACCACTAGTGACACGCGGCGACTTATCCTTCTCACTCCTCACTTTCTCGTGATCAACCAGTGGCATAGATTACCCACAGTAGCCAAGTCATTGAAAATGTTAGGTTGTATTATACATAGCTGATTTAGTTTATTAAGTTCCCTATTAGTATCGGCATGATGCCGAAGGTTTTCCATGAAATCCGAATCATATTCTATTGGTAGTGCGGTTCCCACCGCTTCCACTTTCAACACTTACCTGCTGTCGGTCATTAGCGAATATGATGGAGATACTGTGGAACATAAAACTACGCTTCACAGCCTAGGGGACAAAGGCATTATGCCTAGTTTCGGTGGCTTTCATTTTACCATCTACGGAAGAAACCCTTTTTTCAAGCGTCAATTTTTCTTTAACCCAGGCCGGATTCCTGTTGATTACTCTGTTTTAACTGAATATGGGTATTACGAGCGGTTTTGTCCTCAGAACCGGCTGATCGTTAATTTGAATTAATGCTATATTAATGTCATACATGATGAGCTTGGTAACCATTAGCTGGATGCGTGGATCCACTTTCGTTTGTAAACCAACTTGACTCGACGACACCAAATATAGATCTCGGTGTGGTTCGCTAGCTTATCAGTCTGGCATGTTGTTTACCTCCAGTTAGCTGCATTTTTTTAACAAGACGTATGTTTACAGTGAGGAGAGCCACGGATCCTATTTTTTTTATCTCCAAACAAATAACCGCATTATATGTAAACGTAGAGGGGTCGTGGTAAAAAATCTTTCAGCTGTAGCACCCTTTCGGTGCCTAACTCCCATGCCACCCGAAGGAAGCACGAGGGCTGAGATACTGCCAGGTTGCCCAAGCCTAGACAGGGGAAGTCGAGTGGCAGAGGTCGGGTTCGAACCACGGACCTTCCGGTCAGTAAATTCGCGCTCTACCCACTTGGGGTCGTGGTATCCTTTTGTCGCATTATTTTGCATTCTCAGCCTTTCGGTTAACCAGTGCATTATAACCTAGAAATAACTCGTAACCGCCACGTCTCTTATTAGACTTTCATTCCCGTGATGCATATACGGAAGAGGTGATTGATGGGAGTTTACATTCATTGCACATGGAGAACGTCGTGTTGTTTACTAGTTATCTGTTTAGTCTACCCCCTCCCCCACATAAAACTTTATGTACTCTAAGTAATGACTAAAGTTGTGTGACAAGTGATAAATTTCTTTTTACTGCTTTTTGCAGGCTAAGGCTGACCCACACGCTCGCAATTTGGATGGTAAGACACCGGTTGAACTGGCCGATGGATCTGCCCGACTGGCGTTGCTCGGTGACTATCGGAAGGATGAACTGTTGGAGGCTGCACGCAGTGGCAATGAGGAGAAACTAATCAGCCTACTTACTCCTCAGAATGTGAATTGTCATGCTGGAGATGGACGCAAGTCAACACCCCTACACTTGGCTGCGGGTTACAACAGGTGCGTTACTTAACTAGTTTGTTCTGAGTACCTTAGTTCCACATAGCTTTTGTCACATTCCAGTTTTTTGGAGACAGCCAAACTTTCGGCCCTTCCGTTCGGGATGTTGCTGTCAGTGTTAACGTAACTCCAACGTATGGTTGTATTTTCTCGGTTCATGACTTCTACTGAACAGAGTTTATGCATACGCTGGTCACCTTTCCGGGTTTTGTGCGAGCAGTTTGGAGGCTCATTCATATCTCCCCTAGTATTAGGTTAGGCTGCTCGTCCGCCAGGGTAGGGAAATGTTTACGTCGGAATTTTAGGGAATACCGAGTGTGACCACTGACCCGGTTCACACTCCGTTTATATTTGTCGTCAAGTTCCGATCTAAATGTTTGGTTTCAGTCAGCATTGTGCATGTGTTCGGAGGCGTGCCGTTCGGAATAGCCAAACATCGCGTCGTTTGGACGGATGTGTAGCGAATAGGCTACGCACGAAGGGAAGCCATATCCTGATTGGTCAGGATATGGACCAATCAGGGCTAAGAATTTTTAGCTCGGCACTTCCAGCCCCATCACGAAGCTTCCACCTCAACCTGGTGGAAATTTGTTGGGTGATTCCGTGAAAGCATTTCCAGGAATATTCCGTTGTCTCGATTACGGGTTGTCTCAATCTGCTGTGCCTTTTGCTGTAACATTGTGGGCGGAAGAGCATGCTGGAGAGCAAACTTAAAGTTGCAATTTACGGCAGCTGATGACAATTCGAACTCACGCTGTCACTTTCAGCAGAGTGACTCCAAGCAATTTTACAAGACTAACAGAAGCTGTTCGAAGATACTCGAACGAAGTTTATTGAAATTCTCATGCACTATGTTCGTGAATATGGCTAAAACAGATGCCCCCCGTCTCCTCCCGCAGATGCTTCCGCCAGCTCGATTACCCACTTTTGTTTTAACACTTATCCTAGACGAACTTTTGAGGGTTCGTTCAGGAAGTGTGAGGATATGTTTCAAACCGATTTTTCCGAATTTGGTGGCGCATAAAATGCTCGACCGTTGCTGTGGAAACTGGAGGTAGTTAAGGATGGTCGGTCCACAAAATTCTTACTCCCCAAACTCTCTCATGACCTTGGCGTCATAGATACTATTAGGATCCTAGTGAGCAGGATTCCTTATCCAGTATCTGCTAGCAGTGTCCCAAGACCACCGAAAAGGATACTGAAGCTCTCATCTCATTTGACGGTGTGGTTAACAGCGAATATGAGTGCTTCAAGCTAAACACAATGGTTGAGGATTAATTCAAGTGGTTCATTTTAGTGACTGACTTTCAACCACCGTATGATGTAGGCATTCGGGGCCGGCTGCTGAAGCATACTGAATGGGGTCCGAAGTTGACATTTCAGAAACTTACCGTCGAATACCAGCGTTTTATAGATCTTAAGATTGATGTTGTAATGGTTGAACATTCCCAGCCTTTTCAGTCTGCCATGGTATACAAAGTAACCTAAAAACAGTCGAATTCCAAGCGAACCACAGAGGAAACAACTTTAACTTGTTCGTTTTGGGACGAATGAGGGAGATCATTATCATCATCAGAACTATAGGTGCGGCACGTATCATAGAAGAGGCCACAAAGATGAATGCTACAGAGACAACTTCGGAAACTCGTGCAAATATTGGTGTGCTAATTGAACGCATTCAAGAGATGTGACCGCCGCGTGCGGGATTAGATAACCTTGTCGACGAAAACTTGTTCCAATGTTCATCAAATGTACCCCGTTTACCCTTGAATGTGATACGGGTTCTGACTTCACTCTGATTTCAAAGCAAGCTGAAACGTGATTGAAGAATTACCAGTTACCGTCGTTTCCGATACACCTGTTGAGATCTTGAACTGACCGGGAAGCGGAACTGCGGGTAACAACCAAGTTGATTCAGTTCAGTGGTGATTGCTGCCTCACAAACTACTCAAGTTTTGATTTCGTGGGCCTGGGTTGGGTGACTGGGATTCAACTCCATTTGTATCACTATATCTTACTGGTGTTGCTGCCAGTAACGATGATGGCTACAGATAGTAATTGTTCCTGGCAACACCACATCCTGACGATTTTGTGGTCACTACAGTAACAGCCAAACCGGTGACCAATCAGAGCATACGTGACGCGACGATTATTTCGGCCGTTACGTCTTACAGCAGTAGACGTCTCACTGATTCCGCCTTCACGAATTCCGCCAACACCTTACAACCTTCTACCCGCGGTCCTCACCCTTCAATTAGCAACCCCATGCTCAGGTGGACCGCTCCACTGCCATCCAGAAAGTTAGGGGGAAGAGGACGACCGAGTGGCACCGTAGCAATTACATGAAGGCCATATGCGCATTGGAGGATGTGAACGCCATCCATGGTTGACGCTGGCTCGAATAGCATGTCGAACAGGCGATGCAGGTCATACCCAAGGCGCGAGTACGTCGTAAGAATCAACTTCAGATTGTGGCCCTACAGTTGAACCACATTATAAGGGTGACCAAACAATTCTAACATAGTCCGGCGGTCTAGGGCATGTAGAAAGTCATTTGTATCAATTCTCATATCAACATCCTTGTTGCCTCATGGATGGACTCACAAGTGACAGCATCCCCCGAATCATCACAAGCCAAATCAAAGCAGCAGTCGGACGAACGGCGTCCTCAAAGGTGGGGCGTCCGGGGACGAGCCACTCGAAATAGCCTTACATCACGCCGATCGGACGGATGTGTCGCGAACGGGCTACGGACCAAAAGAAGATGAACACCTTCAGCCCGAACATAGGTTAATCAGGATGGAGCATTTTCAACTGGGTACTTCTCTCCCTTCTATTAGGAATTTTCCAGCCCGAGCTCGTAGAAAATTCTGTGTAACTCCATTAACGCGTTCGGACGAATCTTCCTTAGTCTCCATTAAGCATTGTCTCAATCTTTCCCGGCTTTTATGTCATTCTGGGCGGAGCAGGAAGCTAAGGACCAACGTTGGAGTTGCCGTTTATAAGAACTTTTTTACCGAATGTCATGTGGCGAATGCATGTGCTACCAGGGTATTACATTATTCGTTGAGTCTGATTATTCAGCTGCAAGCTATATGCCCATGAGGAACTTCACTTGCCCCCATGTGATCGATCATGGGCTTTTTCGGAGGTGGTTTCTGATTTCGACTGGTTTCAGTTCGGTGGAATACCACTTGTGAAGTTTGTTAATATTTTTCGAAATCTGAAGTGAAATTGATACAAGTGTTACCATAATGTAAATCATCTGTCGCACTCAGTAAAAATAGCTCGTTCTGACGGTGATATCTATTGGTGGGATCAACCGATTTGTGCTTTTTGAGTGGGAAGTAAATGTCTTGGATTTGCGTAGTTGGTATTTATAAGAAAGGTATTAAGCAGCTCTACCTATACTTGTGTCCGTTCACAACGGTCTGATAATCCCCTGGTGATGCTGGTCAGTATGTGCTCTGTAGAACTGACAGATTTCATTGAAGGATCCTAAAGAAATCAACTCCTCTTGGTTAACTGTGTAACATGAGTGAGCTTATATGTGGACATCTGAAATCGAGAAATGCTTTGATGCTGATGCTCATACCTTCTTACTGCGGTCACGGTTGATCCGCAAATTACCTTCCTGAAACATTTTTGGCTCTTTCATCACGTGTGTCCAATTCGACCGCCCACCTCTTCAGTCGAATTTGAATCATCAGTGCAAAGCAATCCGGTTGGCGACTCATACAGCATTACAATTGGATTTTCTGTGGCAACAGCTTCCATCCGATGCACTCTGGAAACGTCTATTTGCTTTCAGTGCTCTCAGGGATCCCGGAGAGAAATTCTCCGACTTGATTGGTTGCTTTCTCATGGTTAAATTAAATAAGAGATATACAAGAGATATAAGAGAGATACAAGTCATTCATTTGTAACAGCCTTTCACTGCATAGCTGCCATGCAACCCGAGGGAAGCACGAGGGCTGGGGTACCACCAGGTCGAGACGCCAACTTTGGGTTCGAACTACGAATCTTTCGGTTCCTAGTTCTACGCCTCAATCACTGAACCATCCTTAACTCAAGTTCACCTCAAACATGAGTTCACAGGACGATTTCGACTACCTTTCTCAGATGTGAACAAAAGAAGACAGAATATTCGGCTCTTGTAAAACCCTAATACGATATTTTTGACGATGGGGCTAAACTTCATATTGCTTTGCAACTGAATGGCGTGTTTAAAGAGGAGAATAGGTGAAGGAACCTTTGATAACTCTGTCGGTATGAAATAGTAGAGGTTGTTGTGAAACTACGGAAATTTGACTGTGATATGAGGATGGTCAGATTCCTGAAAATAATCCCACCTCAAAGTCCACCAAAATCTCAGTAGGGAAACCGACAAGCATCCACCGGGCCAGTCATTCAGTCATCCAATCAATTCAGCAGCAGCCGACGACGATGCGTGTTCAGATGATGATGAGTGTTCACCAAACACCGACCAGACAGTCTGGATCAATGTCAAAAAGTGCCTTTTAAATACAACGAAGCCCCTTGTTACTTTTGCACTCGCTGGTTCGCAATAAAGCGGTTATGTTCCTTGTTGGCGATTATTTTTCCGACATTGAGACATTGAAGCGGAGACAGCAATCAGACACAACATATATGATACCTATATTTTCAACTACTAACTTGTCTGATGATGAATTAGCTGGAAATTGTTTGCCATACTGATTTAAGTGGTGGCGAGTTAGAAGAAATTCCCTTGGTGAAAAAGCCGTAGATTACGAGGTGATACTGCGCGACTGATTGGGATGAAACGAAAATGTGCTTGTCACCGATGAACCTATCGATGTAGTTGTACAGTTGGGCAGTTTCATTGACTCTTATAGATTAGCCATTGACAAAGCCTTATTTCAAAGGGGTAAGGTTTGGGAGGGAGGGTGGTTTTCGTTAAACTGAGACCTTGTAGCAGTCTTACCTGCTAAGTATAGAGTTTACAAGGATGCAGTACCTCCTATGTTGTTACGTGTTTCAGAAACTTGATCAATGGTAACCTGATTCCAAAGGTTTGGTGACAGCTGGTGGGAGCACATGGTCAGCGGTTTGGAGGCACATCGAACAGATTTTAGAATAAACTAGTCCACAGATTACAACAGTTTTATCATGTGCTTAAACTGCTACTCCCCTCCACCCAGGCAGGTGTGGGGTGGAACAGGTCCAACGAAGGCCAGATTATGACTTTGCATCGAAGTGTGACTATGGTGTACTGAAAAACCAGCCGTTTTGTCAACTGTTATCTTCGTATGGAATTACGTTTAAGGTCATATCAGTGGCAGCAATGAGCCCCATACGCATCCAGTGACGGTCGTGTGTCCGAAGTATTTCCTTCAGTGCATGTCTTCCTCTTCCCAGATACCGCAGTCGTCATTGCAGTTATACTGCTTCTGCACTGCGGTTTTTCGGGCTATCGCCTCCAGTGGTCGTTCTCCCCTTTTCTATCCGTCCTTTTGAGCGATGTTGTGATCAGTTCTACTCCAGTCAACAATAAAGGATTTTGTGTCTTTTTATGCCTTGATTTATGACGCTGCGCATATAAACCTTCGCTATGTGTGGATGCACGTGTTGGTATAGTCCTCCAGATTTAGTAGAGAGGTACTAAAGCTTATGAACAGCCCTTGTGATCATCTTACACGGTCACGTGGCCGCAGTAGATGAGTCATTGACACAATCTTTAGGCTGAGAACACTGAACTTGATATGTGCGTAACTTCGGGATTGGAATGGCCATGTTGATATAATTTGGTTCCATTTGTTATGTGGCCTTCTGAGCCAAGTAGAATCAGGAAACCGGTCCGCGAATAAAAGGGTCAGTAGGCTCGTGCACCAACCAGTACTTTGATTATCCAACACATTTTTCAAGTATTTACTCAGTATATTACTACAGTTTTCGACGACACCGTGCCAATTTCTTCAAGGTTTTTACCAACATTGCTTCATTAAGATCATGTCTGCACAGGCTCCTTAACACACTTTGGTGGGGAGCTGAACGAACGATCAAGTTGCCAAGCCTAACCTTTTTTTGACTGTGACCGGCCGTCTTAACGGCCTCCATTGTGTTGTTTCTTTTCTCTGCCTCAAAAGTCTTTATGGAGTAGGCAAGTAAGAGGACATGAACGGGCTATCCGTTACTAGACACGTGATTAATAGTTCAGATAGGAAAGAGTTCATCAAGTAGTATTGGACACTGACAGTGTGGTATCAGAGGCATACAGAGGCTTGAATAAAGCTGTTCATTAAAGCATCGCTAGAGCGAGTGTGTAAGCGATAGCTGAATTATCAGGTCGGTAGTTTTTACTGACTCACGGGGGATTTATTGATAGCCGCCAAGTGATTGGCCATGGGTCATTGAATCCGTAGCATAATTGGGTAGGAGGTATAAGTCAGTTGGAGGTTTCAGAGAGGTTTGGTAAACATTCGGTGGATTTGTTCTTTATCATTGTTTCCTTATTGTTTATTTATTGTTTACCAAACCTCGCTGAAACGATGACTTCCCAATCGGTCCTAAACATTTTCACTTGGTGGTTGTTTGAGCGCAACTAGATGTGCGTCATTCCTTTGCGCAGTAACAAACAGAAACTTCCGCCGAGACTTCGCCTCTTGTTGTACGACAATGAACTTGTCATGTGTCTCAGTGATGCACTATCATGCATATCCTTCCGTGCGTGTAAGCACTTTAGCTGTTTCTAATTTTAAAGTAAATTTTCCTCCATTAGACTGTCTTTTATCCCATTGAGTGTTTCGTTTTTTCAAACCAAGGTATGCAACAACTTGTACTGCCATCCAAATTCAATTGATTTAGATCGAAAATAGTGAAAATCCTACTGGCAAACGGTGCGGACGTAGTCGCCAAAGACAAGGGTGGCCTGATCCCGCTACATAATGCTTGCTCCTACGGTCACCTAGACGTTTGTGAGCTGTTGCTGAGTGCCGGTGCTGTACAAACCCAAGTACACGCTGCTGACTTATGGCAATACACTCCTCTACACGAAGCTGCGAGTAAATCGCGCGCGGAAGTATGCTCTTTGTTGTTAGCATACGGTGCAGACCCACTGAAGATCAACTGTCACGGAAAATCCGCCTTGGATTTGGCACCAACCCCAGAGCTACGTCACAGACTTCTACTCGAGTTTCAAGGCAAGTTGTTTTGCCGTAATATTTTTGTGGCTCCTGCTTATTTTGGTGAAGTCATGACACCCAATTAGATTCAGCCTCAAACGCTTGTCTTATATATTGATGGGTGCTGTGGTCAGACTGCTATGTAGGTATTCAGTTCTGTCTTCTCGCCGACGTCACACTGTTCATGATCATCGTCATCACTGGCGGCTTAACGGTTTGATAATGTCGCTACCTTAGTGCCGTAAAACCATGTTAAGTTGTGTGGTTGAGACCCCTAATGAGGGAAACTTAAAAGGAAAGATAAAATGGCCTCGTGCTCACCCATCAAAAGCACCTGGGGTGCTTACGGTTTCAAAAATTTAGATGTGGTACATGTAGTAAACAGACACAATGGGCAGCATAAACGCTGATCACATTAGTTAGCTGCCAGATCTTACAAATTCCCTAACCAAACCTTTTCTGGTTTCTGAAATGGAGTGATACGTGTTGGCATTAGAATCAAAATTACTGAGATTTCCGGTTCCGTTTGGGAGGTATTATGTTCTGCCCTTCAGTCGAATCGTAAGGTTCATCGGACCTGAACCAAGTGGTCCATTCTAGGTAGAAGTCCCTATTCGAAGGGAATAAACTGTATTAGGACTTGGTGGTTGTTTGAGCGCAACTAGATGTGCGTCATTCCTTTGCGCAGTAACAAACAGAAACTTCCGCCGAGACTTCGCCTCTTGTTGTACGACAATGAACTTGTCATGTGTCTCAGTGATGCACTATCATGCATATCCTTCCGTGCGTGTAAGCACTTTAGCTGTTTCTAATTTTAAAGTAAATTTTCCTCCATTAGACTGTCTTTTATCCCATTGAGTGTTTCGTTTTTTCAAACCAAGGTATGCAACAACTTGTACTGCCATCCAAATTCAATTGATTTAGATCGAAAATAGTGAAAATCCTACTGGCAAACGGTGCGGACGTAGTCGCCAAAGACAAGGGTGGCCTGATCCCGCTACATAATGCTTGCTCCTACGGTCACCTAGACGTTTGTGAGCTGTTGCTGAGTGCCGGTGCTGTACAAACCCAAGTACACGCTGCTGACTTATGGCAATACACTCCTCTACACGAAGCTGCGAGTAAATCGCGCGCGGAAGTATGCTCTTTGTTGTTAGCATACGGTGCAGACCCACTGAAGATCAACTGTCACGGAAAATCCGCCTTGGATTTGGCACCAACCCCAGAGCTACGTCACAGACTTCTACTCGAGTTTCAAGGCAAGTTGTTTTGCCGTAATATTTTTGTGGCTCCTGCTTATTTTGGTGAAGTCATGACACCCAATTAGATTCAGCCTCAAACGCTTGTCTTATATATTGATGGGTGCTGTGGTCAGACTGCTATGTAGGTATTCAGTTCTGTCTTCTCGCCGACGTCACACTGTTCATGATCATCGTCATCACTGGCGGCTTAACGGTTTGATAATGTCGCTACCTTAGTGCCGTAAAACCATGTTAAGTTGTGTGGTTGAGACCCCTAATGAGGGAAACTTAAAAGGAAAGATAAAATGGCCTCGTGCTCACCCATCAAAAGCACCTGGGGTGCTTACGGTTTCAAAAATTTAGATGTGGTACATGTAGTAAACAGACACAATGGGCAGCATAAACGCTGATCACATTAGTTAGCTGCCAGATCTTACAAATTCCCTAACCAAACCTTTTCTGGTTTCTGAAATGGAGTGATACGTGTTGGCATTAGAATCAAAATTACTGAGATTTCCGGTTCCGTTTGGGAGGTATTATGTTCTGCCCTTCAGTCGAATCGTAAGGTTCATCGGACCTGAACCAAGTGGTCCATTCTAGGTAGAAGTCCCTATTCGAAGGGAATAAACTGTATTAGGGCCGCTGGGGATTAATGACCTTTAAATACATACCAATGATATGCTTGCTTTGAACTAATTAGGCTGTCGCAGAATTCACGAGGCACCAGGAAGCTAGGCTTTTATCGTCCTGAACACTGAGTACAAACGCTAAAATGGGAGAATGTAAATATGTATGACGTATTAGACTCATAGGATGGAGATTCCGACTATAATATACTGGCCTTTCCAGACATTCAATCCATAAATTAAAAGAGATTTAATAATCGAGTTCCCGTCATGGATTAGAAACGGGCATATTGGACGACCCATGCCATGGCACATCAGGGAACAATAGTAACCGATGGTATTAATCCTCAGCAGCGCCCACTCAGTCTTATAAGAAAGATTGCGTCAGCACTCCAGTCCACGGAGATCGAGCTCAATGCCACAACGAAACTGTTTCTGAGAGAAAGCGTAACTGAGGTACAATGAACACTCTAAATCGCACATCGATTTAGCATCAATAACTTATTCAACTTTAGTATTGGTTTCGTACAGTCACCTTGCATCGGTTCAGTTTCAAATGGGATGTAACATGGTTCGGAGTGAAGCAGGCACACAAATTAATGACAATGATTCACACCAAACTTTGATACCCAGAAGCTTCCATCCACTCATTGACATTGACATCATTGCCGAATTCCACGTCGCGATTGCGACCAGGCTTAACCAAACAAGATAGCGAAATTAAAATCTACCTTCATGGACCTAAGTTGGCCGTGTGACTTACTGACCCACTACCATCTTCGACAACACTGCAGCCACAGGCCATGAGGCTGGCGACACATGGTTAGTCAGCGAGACAGGGATCCCTGTGGCTATCTTATCGATAAATCAACCCGAACCCTCCCCGGAAGTCAGCCACTACACGTACTAGAGAATTACGAGCATGTGGCACACACCCGAACGCACGCCCGGGTATTTCAAAAAGCTCAGGAATCGTCTCATAGAAGTCGGTAACGCCTCTCAACTTGAGTTTGAAAAGTCAATACGACTTCCTGGCCCCGTGTTCATTTTATCACGGTGGTGGCTACTCCGTTTCCCGAGATTCACGATCTCATCCTCAATTAGCCTAGGTCAGCTCAGGATGTCTCTGAAAGTGTGTTTGGTGGGTCAGGCTGTCTAGCTTGGTCGGACGGTCTAGCTACCTGTTCACTCCGGGTTAGTCCTACCCGGATATTGCGAGTAACATTTTGGTTGAGCACATATCTCGAGTGCTTCATCGCATGCACGTTTGCTGTATTGCCTGAAACCAGACCAAAGGATATGCGCGAGTTCATGGTCATTGTGTGGTTCTCCGTTAAGGTATATATAGCAATGGCCGAGACTCTTCCTAGCTTTTTTCATCCCGCTCGCATTACGTTGTGTAGATCTTCTGTGGCGGTTGTTTTCAGGGCCCCAGCTGGATTCATTTTGACCAACGTAACAGAGTCAGCTTGCCTCATCACAATATAACAGACGCAGTCACACGCCACCGCACTGTCCGATCCAACTCACAGATCCATTCACCAGTCAGAGTTCATCCTGGTTCGCGTATCTTTCATTCGCTCGAGATAGTTCAGCGATAGTGGTGGCGAAACACATCGGAGAAGGTGAAACAGTCATGTTTGTACAACGACAGACCTGTTTCAAAGTCAGTCGGATAAGTTGGGTCGAACAAACGAATACTGAGTGAAATACACAATGAAAACAAAAGTGGAACGAGAGTTTCCAACAGGGACCCGCTAAATCAATGGTTGTCGTCCCTTTCTCCTACCGATATTCTGACCCTTTCTTCGCTAATCTCAGACAGAACTAGTGCATGCACCAAGTGTCTTCTCTAGCATGTACGAACTGCAGTAAACAACGCTTCCTAATATCTCACCTGGCACCAACATCCGACGCCCTATCAGAATGGTCATTGTTAAACCACCACTCAAAACTATCCACCAACTCTGGAGACAACTGTTCACGATACCCGCCTTCACCAGAGGCCAGACCAAGCCCTCACGCTTTAGGTCTTTTGATGCCCTTAGTTCTCTTCTGCAACGTCAGGAAATATTCTTTTACTCAAAGGCGCCTGAAGACAAATACTTGTCTCTATCAGGTCTGGTACCGCGAGATCCACTAGACTACTAGACTCCATGCGGTTTCTGATACGTCGCAAATCACATTGAGTTTGTACTCCTTCAGCATCATGCACCTCGTCGGTTTAAGGTCATGGAGTTTACGGCGTTAGACGAGCAGTCTTATCAAGGAACATTGTTGGCTTTTTCCAACGTGTTGTCTCAACCTCGTCTTTATCACACAGACTGCAATAGGGACTGGCCTGATGTTGGCTACGAAGAGGCGAAACCTAGAGGATCATACAATGAAGGTATACGAGAAGGAATACCTCTGCGCGTGCGTTTCTTTTTCCATAAGCTGAAGTAGGTCGTAGCGCCTGTTAGTCTGTATCTCACAGTAATCCTAAAGTATATTCCTTTGATAGCAATAACTGACAAGACCCACCGATCATCATCAGACTGATTCCTTATTCGGGCCTCATTTGAAGAGCAAATCGTATATCCCGTCCGCAAAACGCTCGGCAACTGCAGTATTCGGCAAGCTGTCTTCTTCCTGTGGGCTATGTTCTATTGTACTACAGTTCAAGTCACATTTTTCATCTGTCTTTCGTAAGGCATACACGCGTTTATAGTTGGTCGTTGGCTTGTTCGCTGAGCTGGGCAATTTGGTTGCAAACGTTTCATCACCAATCGAGGTGACATCATCAGCGCGTAGTTGTGCGTAGCGGTGGGTTAGTGGTTGTGCGTTCAGTAGTGTTACGTGTGTGTTGATATACGTGCTGGTAGCCGGGGAGACCTTTGACCGCGCTTAGTCATTCTGTCGGGCGGTTTCATTGGTTGTTCTTTTATCCCGTGTCCTCATTCGCCGATGCCCACGTGACCTTGGAATTTGGCATCCCTCGCCGTCTTAGTCTGGTCGGTGTCGGATTGACCTTTGTCCTTCCGAGTTCCGTTGTGACCTTTATTGATTTGATTCCGAGGAGTTCCTTGTTTCTTCGTTTGTTAATCCATTATTCGGTCCTCCTTGAGTGTTTCGGTTGCGATGTTGATCTCTTGCACGTAGAGGTGCTTAAATTGGATCCAGTTCGATGCACCGGTTGACTGAACCTGCCGTAGTGTACCATGCTTCCAGAGATTCTCTTCCGTGTCGCGTGTCTCCGTATGCCAAAGTTTTCGCGTTTTTCAAGTTGAATTTGTGGCCTTCTTGTTCCCTCGATTGGTCACCTCGATTAGTGATGAAACGTTTGCAACCAAATTGTCCAGCTCAGCGAACAAGCCAACGACCATCTACGCTACCTGAGCTACCGACATTCTCCTCTATAGAAAACGCGTTTATAATTTTCAAACCCTGTGAACGTCTGAGCGCTTCTGGCTTTCAAGTTAGGACCATGAAGCAACCTGAGACTAAGCGAACGGATCACGAAGGAACTTTAAAGTCTGATCATATGCCACTTCTCAACTGTTGCCTGAGCATCATTCTCATAATAATGGACTAGATATAGAGCTCTCTGACTGGTATCCTCCTTTTACTTGATGTATACCTCAATTTGACGCACAAACTCCCATTACTGATTCGGGTTACCTTAAACAATTTAAAAGTGATCATCATTATATTGAGTTAGCTCAATGTTTGTCATTGGCATTGACATTCCTAACATGACCAAGCCACAAGGGTTTTTATCTGTCTGAAAAGGTTTCAAGTTTGCTTGGGCTGCTTGTTCCCGGAATTTTTTTTGGGGTTTGCCCTTCAGGGTCGACCTCGATTTCACTTAGTTGAGCTTTGCAATATCTCTAAGAGGGCCCGTTGGAGCTTTATCTCTCGCTTTACAGGATACTCCCGGAGCTGAGCGGTCCTTAGGGCTTTCATAGCTTAGTTATTCTTGAGACTAGATGCAGAAATTGATTTACAACAGCTGGAGCGGGACGTTAGAAAAGTATCTTCCTTGGCGTCGATAGGTGGCATGAGTCTCGCAAATTCTGAATCATTCAGTTGAACCACTATGGGCGTAAAATTTGGTATGTTTACATTGAATCAAGACTTCGAGTAGGGTTACAACCAAAACGGTATCTCCGAGTGACGCGTATTGCCAGGACCTCCAGTTGGGCAAAACAGTCCAAGGTGGTCTTTTCTATAGGTAAGACAGTAACTCGTGAAAACATGCAATAGTCAGTGGCAGATACTTGTTTAGCACATGATCCATTATAATTTTCAAACCCTGTGAACGTCTGAGCGCTTCTGGCTTTCAAGTTAGGACCATGAAGCAACCTGAGACTAAGCGAACGGATCACGAAGGAACTTTAAAGTCTGATCATATGCCACTTCTCAACTGTTGCCTGAGCATCATTCTCATAATAATGGACTAGATATAGAGCTCTCTGACTGGTATCCTCCTTTTACTTGATGTATACCTCAATTTGACGCACAAACTCCCATTACTGATTCGGGTTACCTTAAACAATTTAAAAGTGATCATCATTATATTGAGTTAGCTCAATGTTTGTCATTGGCATTGACATTCCTAACATGACCAAGCCACAAGGGTTTTTATCTGTCTGAAAAGGTTTCAAGTTTGCTTGGGCTGCTTGTTCCCGGAATTTTTTTTGGGGTTTGCCCTTCAGGGTCGACCTCGATTTCACTTAGTTGAGCTTTGCAATATCTCTAAGAGGGCCCGTTGGAGCTTTATCTCTCGCTTTACAGGATACTCCCGGAGCTGAGCGGTCCTTAGGGCTTTCATAGCTTAGTTATTCTTGAGACTAGATGCAGAAATTGATTTACAACAGCTGGAGCGGGACGTTAGAAAAGTATCTTCCTTGGCGTCGATAGGTGGCATGAGTCTCGCAAATTCTGAATCATTCAGTTGAACCACTATGGGCGTAAAATTTGGTATGTTTACATTGAATCAAGACTTCGAGTAGGGTTACAACCAAAACGGTATCTCCGAGTGACGCGTATTGCCAGGACCTCCAGTTGGGCAAAACAGTCCAAGGTGGTCTTTTCTATAGGTAAGACAGTAACTCGTGAAAACATGCAATAGTCAGTGGCAGATACTTGTTTAGCACATGATCCACTTCGACTATCCAGATGCGAATAATGCAAACCAAACAGATTCAAGCAGTTGAGACGGTCATATATGCTCAAGAGCACTAATAGATGCCTTGGTGACCTCAAGGTCGAATAAACAACGTTGTTGGGACAAACACCGGTTCCACCTACGTGCACTAAGTTCAAACGTATAGAAGGGTTACAAATGTGGGCGAAACGACGTAAGAGAATTGGCAATGTTAGTTGCAATTTCGGTTACGCGTGCTGACCGAAACGTTGACCAATTACCTTGTCTCAAATACCGCGGTTGTTTGACAAAACTTTTTCCGTAGAATCATCAACCTATTTGCTAACACCAGGACCGATCCTGACTACCTGAGATTCGCATTTCTATGTCCGTCTTCGAAACAACTAATTTGTTTCTCGTTGATCCGTTCATTCAGGCCACAATATCTTGGAAGCCTGTCGATCTGGTGATATCGCGAGGGTTCAGTTAGTTATGTCGTACGCCAATTTCACTGAATTGAATAGTAATGCAAAGCTCACACGTACGGATGTGAAACTTCCTCGAAACACAAACGTTTATCCACAAGATACTGCACATGAGCCATCCAAGGGATCGTTACCTGAAGTACTGTCCAACGAGACCGTTGGTTTGACCGCAGGTGATGTGCTTCGTTTCCGTCATCCATATACAGGAATAACTGTTCTACACGCAGCCTGTTCTTTACCCGAATCCGGTCAACCAAGAGAATTCCGGCTTCTGAACTCAGCGAACGCTGATTCCTTCCAGTGCCAGCAAAACAAACCAGACATATGTGATTCAGCTGCTAGTACAGCCCCTCGTAGACAGCAGTTGGTGGAATGGCTACTTCAACAACCTGGGGTATCTGTTGCTGACTGTACAATTGAAGGTCAAACTGCTCTGCATTTTGCTGCCCGAAGTGGGTTCCTGGAGGCTGCAGTGTGTCTGGTCTATCATGGAGCTCGTGTCAACGTGGTAGATGTACACGGGGCCACTCCATTGCATTTAGCCGCCAAGCACGGCCATGCACACGTGGTCCGGTTCCTAGTTCAAGTATCCAGTGGAAATGCGGGGGCGAATTCTGGGGTTAGTCCACCTCCCTCTGTCGCAGCTACCCCAGCCACGGTGCTTCGTCGGTGCCCTGTGGATACGAGTTCGCTCACGATTATCACAGATTCCGAAGCAACAAAAGCCGAAAATAACGCCTATATGCTGTTTGGCGCTGGTAACGATGTTCAGGATCGTTCAGTTGTTGAACTCGCTGTGAAAGGGCTTCTGGGTGGGAACAGAACAGCACCTCTGAACTGCAATCGTAAGCCATGCATTTAGCGTTTGATGTTTTTCTATTGTTCAGTACTACATCATTTTCTTCAGTTTTCGATATATATTTTTGGGAATATTGGGTCACGAAGATTCTAGCGCGTTCTTGTGGCACATTCTTTGATAAGCCTATAACTGTAGTTGCGGTGATTTTCCTCTGTCTTCATTAAAAGCTGCCTTAAGCTACCGTGCTTTTTGGTATACCATTGTAGGTGGAATAGGGAGCCAAGTATCGACATAGGGATTGCACGTCGATCACAATTCACAACCAAATGAGTGATGTTTAACAATTTTGAGGACTTCTTTGGCACACAACATCGTCGTGCGCATTCGCCTTGTTTGGTGAGGGCAGAAGATAAACTTACTCTAATTTAGCACGAGATAGTTAAATGTTTAGGGCGCGAACTTACTGACAGACAGGCCACTGGTTCATTCCAAACCTCATTGTCTCCACTACTCTTGTCTAGACCTGGGCAGCCAGGCCTCTGAGTGGTGTGGTAGCTAGGCACCGAAAAGGTGTTTCGGCTGAATGGCTAATTTAGCACTTTCTCATCTGATGGCGAGTCCAAAATTTATTGCGCAACATCTAAATGGATCTAATGGACAGTATTTTTCGGTTACATCTAGGTTTCGCTGAGGATGCCTCTCACAGCTTTACAGAGTCCAGTACATATTCAGACGAAAAACGTCCTTATCGTTTATGCCTCCATCATAGGTTTTGATTCCACCGATAAATCTATTGTAAATCTATTGTATTCTACAACCACAACGGGAAAACCTGATCCTCTGTTCAATTTGTTTAGTCCACCGTTGTGCAGCTGGTTCACGTCGCAACCCTTCCCCCTAACAAACGGTGCAGAAATTGGTTCAAAGAAGTCGGTGATGTTAAGCAACCTGGCGGGCTCATACACAGTGTATCTAGTGCTCGTGTGGTGTCACTTATGTCTTCCATCTTCCAATTTGTTGTAGATGTTTTCCCGTACCCTCTAGAGATTGCTGGAGCTCTGAGACAGTTGACATCTTTTCTATCTAAAGGTTGTATCGGTGCTGATGGTGATATAATTAAGGATTTTTAATTGAGATATTTGAGTATGAGCACATTAGTCTTCGGGTTACTGTTTTGCGTTGATTTTGGTGACCTTTGGTCATCTTTGCTATCGGGGAACTGGTTTGGTCCGGTTGTCCGAGCCCTGCATTTTAGATTTCGAGGCGGAACAAATACGACGATTGTGTAGCGAATTGTCCATCATCCTCTCCCTCCATCGCCTGTAAGCCGTTGCGAAACGCGTTCCTCTCTCAACCTCCGTTTTATGTGACGAAACCGACGAACACGTCCTTAGTTGCTATCTGCCTGCTCGTCTGCATATGACCAATCGTTATTCACAACCGGTTTCTCCCTTCTCAGATTACGCTTTATGGCGACAGTAACCTGTTGGGTGTAGCAGCCTTCGTGATGTTGGTAATATTGTTGAATTAACTGTGACGCTACTTCTCCGCAACTCTCGTGGCTTCGAATGCGTGAACACTACGGTTGAACGGCGTGTTTGCGGATATGGTGGACGAGAGATAACTAGAAGGACCTTTACTCCAAGCAGCTGGTAACAAGTGTTGATAGTCATGGTGATGCGGGCAACAGATAAACCGGTGGGCGTGCAGTTGACGCACCGTGCGAAGGGAAACACTGAGTTTCGGCCTGCGTGTCTGAAACAGGCCAACGTTCTCTATGGTATGTACTCATAAAGTCAGCTATGCATGTAGGAAAGAAGTGAGTGTTCCGTAAATAGGAAGCATGAACACAGTCTCTTCGACAGATATCAGATATCAGCTGGCCACCAATCAAACCAGTGAACGACAGAATTAAACGCAAAAGCCCTGGGTTACGCTCTCAGTGAACATGGCTGTATAACTAATTTTTAGGTAACATTGAAAACTTCACAGTCGGCTAAGCTTAAGACTGAAGAACTGAGTTGGTCTGATAATCGCAAAGATGAGTTGCATCTTCAATGCATCATACATATCGTTCTGATGTTGTTGATACTTTGTTCACGAATTTTCAGACTGCAACTAACTGCCCAGTTTATGGACATATACCACTAACACTTATTCCAGAATAATTGGGAACCGGCTGATTTCTGCCTCAACTGTTCATGTTAAAATACCCCGACAATTAAGTGATTTTTGATGGTTTTAATTCACTTGCAAAGAAACCGCTCTCGAACGAGACCATTTTTGATGGGCTCTTTCAGATCTCCGACTGTCAGATTCATTCATTACAAGATTTACTTTGACTGTTTTTTCAGCTAGTCTTTTCAATAGGGACATTTTCAGTCTACACATAATGTCGCTGTATCACTCGGTGCGTTTCCGGATGCGTTCGCTCAACATTCGTTTTATCAATGCCTACCTGTTTTTTTTTTGTGTAGCTGGATGTTCCCTTCACAATGGTGATTCGAACCGCCATTTATTGGGAGTCTCCGCCTTATCAACTGTCACCCAATCAACAGCCACCCTCACCGACCAGAAAGGAAATTCCGCATCCCAGCAAATGCAGCCAACGCTATCAGTCACATTCGGTACTGAGGTGGCGAATTCATCACGTAACTGCCAGTTTAATGCTGTCTGTTCAGCAACATCCTTTAATTCTACTAGCCGCTCACCTCAGCTTGTCAGCTCCGAGTTCAATCAGTCCCCACTTGAACTACCTGTTCCTAGTGTCTCTAATCGTACGTGGGCTGATCTCGTACTACAACTTTTAGAAGCAGCGAAGTCCGGTGATGTGGAACTGGTGCGTAGGATCATTACAACACATCAACAACAAAGGTGCGACCAAGGAGCTCTCCACCCAGGTGGTGCCCTCCAGTATGCCGCGCAGGATTCGGCCTCTGGGCAGACGAGCGATGGGATTGATAGTGGACGCGACCCATCCTCTGTGATGGATTTGATCAACTGTCGAGATATGGATGGACGCCATTCAACACCATTACATTTCGCAGCTGGATATAACCGTCTTAGTGTGGTCGAACTTCTACTTCAATATGGTGCTGACGTGCACGCAAAGGACAAGGGTGGTCTGGTGCCACTACACAATGCATGCTCATATGGGCACACCAAGGTTTGTTTATTTTATCAGTCTCGTCACGCGTGCTTCGGTGTGGGAAGATTCCCTGGCTTATTCAAAAGAAGTTGCTGTTTGCCCTTCATGTAGATTTGACCATTGAATCGTTTCTAGCGATTTGTCGGCCCGTTGGTTGGTCGTTCGCACTATACACCCTCTTTATGCATTTAGTCAGGTTCTCATATCAGAAGACACCTGTCGTTGAGGTTCTTGTGCAGATGCATCTTAGAATAATGGTTTGAGAATCGGTGAGTGACTCTGATGTGACCATGCACATCATTGAAGACGACTTCTGCGTGTACCCAGCGTTCACCACCTACACAGAGGGAATTCACGCACAACCACTGGTAAAAAGCCTAAAAATTTAGGCCAGATGTCTTTCCACTTGTGTATACAGATGCGAATTCAGGTGTCAGGTGAGTGATTCTGACGTCATCGCAACTTTTCTTTTCAGTCGGTTCGCTCCGCCTCGCCAACCAAACCACTTTGTTCTCTCACACTGTTCGCTTTTTTCGTAAACGACTCTTGTTGCCCCAAGCTTTCACATACCATGCTCATGATACATACCACTTGGGTTACGAACGTGAGGCTATCCATTTGAATATGTATTGCGCCACAAAAGAGGATGATTTACCCACTTATTCTGTTAGCAACATTAGCGTGAGTAACATCTCACGTCTGAGTATGAGAATGTCAAAGGCTGTTGTAACTACTGCGCAACAAATACTTGGTCAGTTCCCGTCGGCTGTTACTCTGCTTCAGGTTCTACTTTTACCATGATCTAGTAATTTAATTAGAGTGGAGATCGCTCCTCGAAAGGCAACTTAGTTTCATACTTTTTTATGGTCATGTACCCATGTTTCACTTGGTTCTTTATTCACTCATAATATTCACAGGTTGCAGAACTACTCATAAAGCATGGAGCAAACGTGAACGTCACAGATCTTTGGCGATTCACGCCATTGCATGAAGCTGCTGCTAAGGGCAAATTTGAGATTTGCCGGCTCCTATTACAGCATGGAGCAGATCCTAGTCGGAAGAACCGTGATGGTCACATGCCAATCGATTTAGTCAAAGTGAGTCAGTTTTACTGCTGTATAGTTCGCGAGATATGTCTTCATTTCCTCTTCCGGTTGTTTTCCACACGCGCAACTTGTCGCGTTGCATTTAGTTGGCTTTATTCCAGAGGAAGAGCTGGGATCGTGTTCAATGGCATTAAGTGACAGATACAAGTATTCCGGGAACGTCCAACTTACATAAGATTCATAAACCTGGGCATCTGTTACGTCCGATTCTAACCGTTTGTAGATCCCCATAACAACACCGACCAGTGGACAGCTAAACACTTGTAACCCACAATCATAGAAGTACCGCAGTATAATTTATGTTACACGTTTTAATTTGTTGGACTGATTCAAAAAGGGAAAAGTTGCTCTTGATTGATTTGTGTTCCCTGTTTACTAACACCCCCCTAGTCGAGACTTTTGTCTTTCTGCGATTTCGCGCTTGCATGCACATCCATGAAAGAACTACGTCGGTGCACCACAGTGGCGCACTTTATATTCATCGTTGACTTGCGCTGTTCACTTGGTGGGGTACTCATGAACTCACTACTGGGTCCTTTGCTGCAGGCCTGTGTATGTATACTTGGGAGATTGGCACGAACAATCCGCTGGTATTCTTTTTGTGGTCGTCATGCTAATGAGATTTTTGTCGTCCAACATGGAATGATTGATATAGATCGAATGCTTGCAACTCACTACCGCCCATCCAGATATCAAGTTGACCCAGGAGTTAGAACGATGCAGTGTCACCCAATTTCTGGATATTTTACTAACACATCGCTACGATAGACGGCTGTCCCATACTATCCATCCTGAACCTTACTGGGTTAGTCAATATCTCCACTTTTGAGTTCCACCCAGTTACGAAGAGTAGGAAATTAAACTGGGAAATTTGCTCTATTCACAGCCAGCGCATGATCTCATTGGGAATGTCCTTTGTGAAAGAAGCTAATCCTAAGCGGTTTCTACAGAACATACGAATGAACATATGGATGAATGAACTTTCAATGAAGATTTCGTCTTTTAATTGAAGTTAATTTATGCTGAAAAGCACGAAGCATTCTAGCCCTTTTTCATTCTCATGGTGAGTTACCACAATGGGGCATCTTACGAAACTCCGGTGACCTCTCGGTTTGTAGTTTGAACACTCAATCGTTCGACCACGAGCGGCTATTCAGTGGTGTGACCAACTCATTTGGACAAGATATAACGCCGTTCATCTTCCACACATCATGTGAAATATTTACGCGCCAGTTTTATGGTATCCTTCAAAACGCATTTAGCGCAGCTCAGTTCCAAACCACATTCAGCAACTGACCGATAGTCTTTCAATACTTCAAAACAAGTTGCCTCATTCCCACAACTATATTCGTTTGCCAATTCCATTCGTGAATATAATGGTCAAACTAGTAGGTAACTACCAAAGAGAGTAAGAGGGCACCCACTCGTATGATGGTTAGAGTGAGATAAGAAACATCTCGAACACTCGCTTTACTCGGATCACTGTGTTTTATACCATGTATCCCAGTACGAATTTATGGGTGCCAAACGAAGGTCATTAGGTAAGGCTGCAGCCGCCAATGTTCTCCTTCCCAATTCCCATAATCAACGTTAGTAGAATATTGGTGATTCACAAACAAGTCAAGTTGTTTAGATAATGTTTTATAATAAAAAGAAGAAGGAAAGAGTCGGAGAGTGGACTTACAGCTAGCTACATCTTTCGGTGTCTCCAGCCAAGCCTAGGGAGGGTCACGTGGACCTCATTCTGAGAGCCTGAGCATCATTAGCATCACTCACAAGTTTTCTAGCATCTGTCATTCTTTTCTATCAAGTCATATTCTGTCCATCTTTAGGTTTCTGGCACTCTCAACTAGATGTGGGAAACGACGCTCTTCTCGCCAGACTAGCTCAGCATGCGTAACACATGGTCCAGCCACCTTAACCTGAAGTGCTGGTGAATTACCGTCTGATTAACCAGAAACCCGTTTCCTGATCATCTCTATGCGAATTCTGCTTTCAACCGATCCCAGCTGTTGTTCTGAGACTTGAAGGTGTCTCAGATCCTCCGCCCGGATCGGTCAAGTCTCACAGTTGTACGGCAATATAACGTGCACGTGGTTTGATATGCGCGTCATTTGAAACCTAGATATGTCTTTTTGGTGCAGTAAGTGTTGCAAATCGGCAAACGCAATACTGACCTTTGAGATTTGTGCATTGATTTCGTCTGTCACAATCCCGTCGCATCTAATCTAACTTCTGAGATACATTTGGTGTTCTACAACTTCCAGTGTTACCCCTCGAATTCTCGGAGGCTTGTTCAATAACTGTACGTCCCCCAGCACGACTTTGTATTTTGTTGGTGTGAAAAATGCCGAAGGATGGATGACCTCGGTCAACAATGAGAACGAAGCATTTCGTGTATTTCAGGTCGACAAGGCTGTTACTCTAGGGATCAAAACATCGGAGATTTGAAGACCCTACAGAGTTCTTTTTAGATTAAAAAAATGGAGGGTGCTTGAATCTTTATCGGACGCCACCATCTGTAAGAAAGCTATCGGATAGTCCTCTTTACACTCTCACGTGCCCCATGTTTGTGAATACAAACAGCGCATGATATAAACAAACCTCTCGGGCATACCCTGTTCTGCAGGCGTGTTTAAAAAACCAACCTGTCGACAGAATGGAACGCACTCTAGGAATCAGGTAACACCAAGGTCGTAGGGCTCCTATGCACATGTCGTTACTGTAACACTTGACTAACTGAAAATGTGGTTCACACAACCCCCCTCCGGACATTGTCCAGTTCATGCAGTAAAGAGTTGTGAGCCAATGACCGCACGACCTCTGCAGGAAATAATTCTCAACAGTTTTTATTGCCTTCTATAGCAGTCCTAAGTAGTTGTACATGCGAAAGCCGTCTGTTATCCACAGAATCGATTTTCGTCACCCTTTCGCAGGTTGATTGCCAAATGAACTACATGAGTCGCTGTGTTTTTAATTAGACAGCCATTATGATCTGGCTCTTGTTTATCGCTTTTTTCATAACTTCCTACCTGATTACTCCTGGGTTGATTGACTGCTGCACGTGTGCAGCACACCACCCTTCTAATTAGCTCTCATTAGGTGCACCTACTGAGATCCTATGCGTAACTCCTGGGTTTTTAGTTCATACCATTTCATTGCAAAGTTGGCTTCAATCGAAAATAGCTTTTGAAAACCCTACCCGCATGCCTAAATCTGTGTGGAACACGGGAACTCCGTCTAAGTAGTGAACAATCCCACCATGGAGAATACTGGCTCAGCCTGAGCCTAGAGGGATGTCCGTAGGTTCGCCCTCTCGACGCTAACTACTTAATGTTCAGAATTAAAACGTACATTTCTCCGAGGAATCGAGTTGACATTGGTATGTGTACTATGTGTAGAAGTGATTTTTGCTGCATTTGAACTTGAGGATGACATCTAGAAACTGAATTATTTCGAATTTCAGTTCGAATTTACATATATTGTATGTCTCACCATTGAGACATCAAATCAGTTTCCTTGTTCTGTTTTGCTTAACTACTTGTCTGATCGATTGTATGAAATTGTTGCAGTCTCTTTGATAACATTTATTGACTTCATGAGTAGTGTTCCTTCATGAAACCAAACACGGGGTCCTTTTTTAAAACTTACTCTGTTACCATGCTTGCCGTTTGTGTTCTTGAGCTCTTCTCACCTGGACACTACGCTTTCCGTCATGATTTGGACTTAATTTTCCACATCGTTTTCTTCACAACTCACAGGACACGGATAGCGATGTATACGATCTTTTGCGAGGTGACATCGCTGTTTTGGAGGCTGCAAAACGGGGAAATTTGGCGAAGCTACAAAAATTGATCACTCCAGCTAACATCAATTGCCGTGACACACAGGGTCGCAATTCGGCCCCTTTGCATCTGGCTGCCGGGTACAACAATGTGGAGGTGAGTGCCTCATTATTTGCTCTGGTATTCATCTATCAGTAAACCATCGCTTTATTCTGTAAAAATTCGAATTCTCTCAGGGACAGGCAGAAGTTCGTCCGGCCAATAAAAAACTTGCTCTCTCGGCACCCCATTGTGTTTGTGTTGCGTTTTGTTAACCGTACTGAAACTCCTGTATCCATCTTTGGCTTCCTGTTCCACCCACTAAAGTATATCGAACCGCACTGTACTTTGAGACAGCCTTTTATGGAGACAAAGGTGAGTGCTCAAAATCGTATTTTTAGGATTATCATGGAATTTTTCACGCGTCGTCATCAACTAAAGGAGCAACGTCAACTGCTTAAGCGACGTCCACCAGGCTTTCTCCGAATAGGATTTCGACGCCCAGACTCACGGGTCCTTAATGAGCATACTGGATGGTGATGCCAATGACAAAATTGACTAAAAATCGACGAACCCAATTAATTAAGGAAAGACTTTTGGGCTAATCTGTCCATAGAATCGAAAGCTCTATTTCATTCATGGAAAATCACCACAGTTGGTCAGCGGTGTTTGTGACACTGGTCAAGCACCTGACGTGATGCGAACATGTACCTTCTCCCAACTGGTGCCTCAAAGTTGCATTTCGCTTAATGAGTTTGATCTTCGCAACACTGTTGAAGCTAGCAGTCCCGCTGCCATCGGAGTGGGGTTTATATCCGATGGTTGGAGCAGCCGCTTCGGGCATTTTTTTCAATAAAAACACAATGGTTGATTGGCCTCAGATTGCGGAGGCATTCTTGTTCCCGAATTAGTTTATTCAACCTAGTGAAGGTAAACCACAAACACTCCGTTATTTTTTTTCGCTGAACTGGGCAGTTTGATCGTCAACATTTCATCACCAATCGAGAGTACATCATCAGTAGGTTGTTAGGACGCGGATTAGGCTCAGGGGAGCGTTACCAACTGTGCGTAGGGTAGTGGTGCGTGCTAATACACCTGGTGTTAGCTGGGGCTGACCATCGATCATTATTGGTCGTCCGGTTGTTCGGTTCTATTGGTTAGTACGTTGTCCTGTATTCTGATTGGCTGGTAGCCACGTGACCTTTGTGCTTGCCCCTGCTTTAGTCCACTGGCCGGTGCTTCGGTAATCTCTATCCATGATATTTGGGTTCCTGTCTGTGACTGTTGATGTGACTGCAAGGAGCTTCCTGTTTCTTGGTTTGTTAATCTATTCCGTCGGCTATCCGAGTATTCCGATTGAGGTGAGGTCTCATTGCATGTATTGGTGCGTGAATCGAATCTAGTTCAGCGTGTCAGTTGACGTAATCCGTCGTGGATTACCATGCTCTCAGGCATTCCCTTCTCTGTCACACGTCTCCGCATGCCAAGATTTTCATGTTTCTCACTGAATTCGTGACCTTGGTCCTCATGTATCGAGATCAGGAATAAAGAGCAGTGTTCTGTGATGGCTGTATTAAGCTCTCCTATTCTTGCACATAGTTTCCTTCCCGTTCTTTTAACATGGAACTTGTTGAAGCTACTGCAGTTGATATGGTATACCTCACTGTTCACCTTGCTTTTTCGTCACTGTTTTCTTTCGCCTTCGAGATCACTTTCTGTAAGACAGCGCTAAGTTGGTGTGCCACCAGGATTTTTCTGAATTGATAATGTGGCTGTCAGTTCTGGTGTATTTTTGGACTGAGAGAGAATTGTCCATCTGGTCGCATGTTCTTGCTATTGATGCTCTTGAGGTATCTTGAAACTTCTCTCAATAAAATTCCTTGGATATCCATTGTTCCGTCCTTGGATAGGGTAACGGTTTAACTGGTTGACTGCCAACTGGATATAGAGCTTAGTTGAGGGGGTGGGGGTTAAGGAGGTGTCATTGGAGGAAGGGCGAATGATACTTCCCGATTACTTTGGTCGAAGAAAAAAATGGGTTGGTTGATGTACCTCATCGTGAGCTTTCAAGACATAAGTTTGGCCCTTAAAGCAGTGGAAGGATGTAGGGTTCTGTTTGGGCCCCTTACCCTAACTTCTGATGCACAAGTGCGAATCGCGGAACAACGATTGTTGAGATTTTGCTTCTGGACCCTGATCGGATTTTCACCTCTTCGTTCCATTTACATCTGAGCTATGTGGAGGCATTTTGTTAGTGTATGTTTTTCGCTCTCCTCTCTCCTCAAAAGTGGGCATTTCTCAAAAGTGTGATTTCAACCTTCCCAGAGATGCGCACTCCATAATCAGAATGTTGTATTTATAACCATTAGACGTACTGATTATTTGCTCTCTACGAGAAAACTAGTTAACTGCGACTTCTACATTAGGTCCAAATTACTATCTTCGGTGATACGTATATCGGTATCAGTCCTTTTTATTTCACCAACTAACCTGTTATCGTTGATAGTTGGCTAGTTATTCTCGTGAGAACAGGGTAACCATCGACATATTTTTCTTCCTTCGTCCACGTGAATCGCCAAGGGCAGTGTCATCTTTCTCGTACTTTAAGTGACCTAGCTGGCAGACAGTCCAAAAGGATGCATCCCATTGGCTCATAGTTCACGATTGACGATTTAGCGAGAAGTAAGACGAACTCTTTCGTGTACACAATGTACGAGGCGTTGTCAGAAACAATATAGTTCTCTTGAATTTTCTGGATATGCTTATACTCAGAGTGGGATTTGATCTGTTGACGACAATCTCCTCCTGCATAAATCTCCTGTTCCCCTTTACAATTAGTTCCTCATCGCGAGTGATGTGCCCGTGAAATACGAAATTCTGTTAAAGTTAATTTGGGCCAATGAAGTCAACCATCATATGGTCGACGATCGCAGCTATCATTATTTTCATCGACAGTTGCAGAACATCTCCTATACATACTACTCATCCGTTAATTGACGTCCTGTCACTAGTCGGCTTGAAGGTTGTGATTTGTAAACAATATTCACACAGTACTTGTATTGGGGCCGAGAATGCTGAAAGTCTAGTTCGCGGAATCCGTGTATGACACGCTGATCAGCACTGTTTCAGCTTGGAAACTTGCAGCTTTCCGGACTGCATATGAGCAAACTTATTGAGAATGAGTATCCCTGGTAGTTACTTACAGTTTTATCATCGGTCTAGGCCGATGTGGACCGAAAAAGAAGTATACTGTTGGGAGAAGGCTTTTGACAACGCGAAAGAAGACTCCTCCTTGCCGCCTCAAAGTAACCGAGGGGTACTTCAGATCCAAAAAGATCTCTCAGGTTGGTTGTTATTTTGTGACGCATGGCTACACTATTCGCAACATTTAAGATACAAAAAATAAGAGAACCTCTGTAGATGAATTCTAACCGTTTTCAAAAGATATTTAACTGAGCCATGCATCATATCATCCGAAACTTCAAGCGAGTGCCTGTTGCGGCTGGGTAAAACTAACCCAAATTACTATAGGCATAAAGGAACTCTAGGGATTTTGAAGAGGACTAGAATCATCACTTCGCGAACACACGAGTCAGTAAGGGATTATTTTGGTTTGCTTTTCTGGATGAATGATTAGACACTGAACAATGGTTAAAGGGCTGGCAGGTGGATTGATCACTCTGCATCGTTCGATGGATGAGGGGTGGTTGTGGGGAGATCTAGTGACCAGAGAGCTGTAAGGACGAATGGTACTTTCCGCTTGCCGAAGACGGTAGTCCACCTTCAGAAGCCTAACCTACAGACTAGTAGGTTTTTGTTTCGAGACCCTGCCTCAAGCCTCTGACGCAAGTCTGAACTGCGAAACAGCGTGTTGATTTTCCTGGTACGGAACTTTGAATAGCGCGTAGGTTCGACAATACCGAATATCAAAAGGAAGAATTGGGTTCGCAATTCTACGGTACTGTTCACACAAGGGTGAGCAAATTTATACAACAAACCCCGGTTGTCCACGTCAACAAGTGCACAATTCTGTCACTTACTGGCACAGTGCGGGTCAACGTCCGCACACCAAACGACGTTGGGTGGAATGTCGGCTGGGTAGTGTGAGTTACGGACGGCAGTCTTGTGATGCTGACTGGCGGTGCGATCACATGGAACTCATGAGAGAACACGAGACACGAACGCGCATGGGTAAGTAGGTCAGCCACGCACATGCTAATACGCGAGTGTTCAATGGGACGGTTTTTGCGGCAAGGTGAGTGCCGGGTACAGATGAGGAAACTAAGTGGAGATCAAAAGTACATCGGTCGAGTAAGCTAATGAATTAGGTAATTATCATGAAGGCAAGTTAGCTTCAGTGCAGCGGTTGTTAGGGTTCTCTTGGTGAGCCCTTCTTGGAGCCAATGACTCCAATAGTCTTACTCATTTTGGCGTAGGGAACCGGCCTGGTCCGAGAGAGTAAGACTTTACTTTCTCACTTCTAATGCGGTCACGCACATCATGCACCTTCTGAGCAGCGCCAGAATCTTTGGTTTTGAAGGCATTAGAACCGTCAGCAGTCACGGGCAACCGTTGGACTGTGCAGTTTTCAGTGCTGACCTTTCCTAACCTGCCCTTTATCGGGGAAAGCAGCATCGCTGGTCCCATGAATATGTACATGTTGGTCGCCCGGGAGGAAGCTCCCTACTGCATCCACACTCACTCCACAGAGGACAGTGAGACGTTATCCCCAGACCTCCCCCCAGTAAGATTACTCTTAGTACGGGGTCGTGGTGCTCTTTGTCTTATTAATCCTTTTTGACCTTCTTGGAATGATTGAACCTTGGGGGACTGAGTTTTAGCCTCTATAGCCTACAGGGTCATTACAATCCTGGAACCCGACCACCAAGACGAGGTGCCAGCTTTAGATCATGTTGTCTCTTTTGTTGTCAGTCTTTTTTCCTTTTCTTCGTAGATTGACAGGAATAGAGCATCCTTGATGTTTGGGGAACTTCGTCTTTCTATCATGCCATGTTGATCAGCTCAAGAACTGCATTCTCTCCATTTGTATCACCCCACTTGAACGCTTCTGCGGCAAGCATATCTTATCCAGCTGTTTTACCATTCCGCGATACCATTTTCTGTGCAGTTTCTCTTCGGTACTTCGAGGACGATCGGAGGATAGCTTCGTCTTTCGTTGAAACAGTGTACGCACTGCGATCCGGTCGACGCTGGTTGGCCAATTCAGCAGTTTGTTTAAGTGCTTGCGCCACGCATCCAATATTTCTGCAAGTGATGTCTGGTTCAGTCCCATGTCATCATTATAGAGAGTTCGGGTCGATTTGATGCTTGATCAACAGATGGTATCCAAACGATCGTAAAGTTCTTCGTGTTGCCGCCTAGCAGCAATCTGATCTTCCTGTTCAGTTCACTTTATCTACAACTGGTTCTTGGCTTGCCGGGTGAAGTTGTTTCGTTCATCCTTTCTTCGTCTCTTTGGTCGGATGGACAAGTGCTTCGTGTTTTATAGCTACCAGCTATTTTGTTTACTAGATGTGGTCCTCAAACTAGTCAAGGCAGTTGCCCGCTCTGGTTGACTACCGTCGTTATTATCTGGTGCTGCAAGTTGTCCCACGCTTCTGTCAATCGCAATGACAGTCACTGCGGAGGCCTGTTGACCTGATTTTCGAATGTTTACGTTTTACGTCATTCTTTGCGCTGCTGAATTAGTGGGGCTTAGGAAGCTGGATTTCTAAGTTCGTGGGGACAAGGCAGCGTTACATAATCGGGTGCTCGCATCAGTTGTGTGGTGGGCACTTCTCCAACGTATCGCTGGCGAACGATAACGTTATAGAGCAGCGGTTCAAAAGCCTGTCCGTAAGGTGTGTTCCAGTCGTCACTTCCGAAGCTCACTACGGTTTTTGATCGGCCGTTAGTTTTGGTCATCTATCCAGGATTTCAATAAGAATTCGAGGTTCCAACACATTCCCTATGTTTTGAGTCGTTGGGTTTCAAGATTTGACCCGAATATGTTCTATTTAGTAGTACGTTCAGTCCATCTTTTAATATATCCTGTATCGTGTTTTCAAGTGATACTTTCTGTCTCTACTTTTACAGCCTAAATCTCAGGTTTTAATTGTCACTATTTGCACCAAACATGTTTTTTGCGCATCAATAAGATTTGCGTCTGAAATTTTGGCCAATTTCAATCATTTTCTAGCTTCACTTATGTAAACGTGGATAAAATAGATATATGAAACCAGCTGTTTTCTCCAATCGTCGCACAGTTCAGGGAAATTGGCGTTTTATCCACGTCAGAGGTGTGGTCCCCCGGAAAGGTCTCAGGTAGGGATTGATTTTTTTGTAACTATAATAAGTAGTCTATCGTTATTTCGGTTGCTTTTAAGCTTCTTGATATTTCTGGGCTCGCTCTCGTACCAGAATGGCGACCCCACAGCGGTATACTGTGCAAATTGCAATTACCTAGAACTTCTGAGTAATCTGTGGTATTCATACGTAAAGTTCCCCGTATGTTGTGCACTTTTTTAGGTCGTTGAATTTTTGCTTGAATCTGGAGCTGACGTCAACTCAAAGGACAAAGGTGGCCTCATCCCTCTGCACAATGCAAGTTCGTACGGACACGTAGATGTGGCTGCATTGCTCATTCGATATGGGACTTCTGTCAATGCAGTGGACAAATGGGGATATACGCCTTTACATGAAGCAGCTCAGAAGGGTCGGACGCAGTTGTGTGCATTGTTGCTAGCCCACGGCGCGGACCCGGCCATGAAAAATCAAGAGAGTAAGTAGTGTAACACTGCGAACTCTTCAGCTGCTGCGCTGATAATCTTGCTACGTCTGTCAAAAATGTCCACATCACTTGGAAAAAACTAACATTGTGGAAGATGAAATGAGTGCTTGAATGATTTCATTTGATCACGCTTATCGGTATAGCTTTACAGCGAATTAAGTATTGGACCATAGGTGGGTTAGTGTTAATTGTGCAGAAGAAATTCGAGTTTCTATTGGTTTACGCAGCTTCACTGAAGCATCATCAATGTGCTCCTTGAGGGCCACAATGTTCATCCTGAAGATCCTCTTCCTGTGACTGAGTGGAATAAATTCACTTATGTACACAGCTCTGGTTAAAGTCGATGGTAACAGCGAGCCTAATGTCCTACCAATCAGTGTCTTTCTCTAGATTTTTGATAACAATCTTAAGATGTGTCGTTTGGGTTATTCCAGTCACAAACCTGTCTGAACTGTTCGTGAACGGAAATAATAATACACGCAGCAAAAGCACTGTTCATTGCTTTATATTGAGCACCTGATCACAGTTGTGGTCGATTCAACTGTTTCCATTAACAATGTCTACTTTTTCCACTTTCAGATCAAGTGCCACTTGACCTGGCGACTACGGATGACGTGAAATCCCTTCTGTTAGACGCTATGCTTCGTTCTGATCTTTCCATTCCTACGGTTACGAAACCCATACCCAGTGGTACCACAGGTCGAGCACCAACGGGTGTCGTGCTGGCAGACAGCAACATTACAACTCCTCGGCTTTCCGATACGAACTCCACTCCACCTTTGCCTGTTGAAAACTGCACTGGTCCAAGAGTGGAGGGACAAGGTCGTGAGTCAGATGTTACGGGGGCATCCGGTTTAACAGCACCGACTGCAAACCAACCCCCTGTGTTACCGACCAATCGAATCGTCGCAAGTGGTCCTGATGTTGGTGTGGCTGATTCTGGGAACGTTGTTCCGGTGCATTGCAAGCTCACAGTAGCAGGCTTCTTGACATCTTTGGGTTTGCAAAGATATATTGAATTATTCGATATGGAAGAAGTACGTTCAGTTTCTTCGCTCCCATCCTACTCATTCGTTACATCTCTTATTTTGATCCTTTTACCGTTAAGCGCGAGCGTGTTCCGACCGGGGGAGAAGCTACCCTAGTGAAATGCCGCAGTCGTTTCTGTGTTTACACAGAAATTTCAGTTTACACCTCAATTCTACCCATCTTTTACTCAGGTTACCATGGATATCCTGTCCGAAATGAGCCATGCCGAGTTGAAAGAGCTTGGTGTCTCTATATATGGTCATCGGCATAAAATCCTGAAGGGGATCCAACGTTGGCGCGCTACCTCATCCAACGTTGTCTCGGTGTCAACCACAACAGATGCCTCCCTTTCATCTGTTGCAAGTACCACCGGGATGATGCAGAAACTCACGGTATCCGATGCTGCGCGTCCAACGGCTGGGCCAGGTTCTATGAGAGTTGCAAACGGATCCACGGCCGCAGCATGTGAGACCAACCTGTCTCACTCTCAGGGGGTTGGCGTGACCGAGGCAACACCCACATGTCCTCTCTATTTTCCCCCTGGTTCCGCAAAACAGACTATCCTCATCGAACTAGATCCATCCGACCCGGAATTTCGTGCTGTTGAGGAGCAAGTATGTTACCATTTTTGATTATTCAGTCAGAACCTGATAGAAACCCTCTGTACTCAGAAGTAGTTTTCCGATTGCATAGATCGCATTTGTTGGTCTATAGGGTGTTGTGTGTCCATGCTGTTCTGTTGATTTTTACTTCAAGTAAGCAGTATTTGCGACAGGGAGTCGGGGTTACATCGTTGGCGTTATGCCTCATTTTCGATCAACGCCGGCAGCAGTTTGGCCCGCACAACCATAACACAGTGTATTCAGTAAAGCCTGCTTTACTTCCAAGACGAGCGTACCGAATAAAAGCTGGTAGTTGGCTGTTGATCAGGGGGCTGTTGATATGTTCGCCGAGCTTGGCGATTGGCTTGCAAACGTTTCGTCACCATACGAGAAGACATCATCAGTGCGCCGTGGGGTGGGCGCACATCGGGGTAGTCAACACGAATAGGCCAAGTGTGAGGTGTTGGAGGTACTTCAATTATCAACTCATCACTGTGCATTACAACCTCGTGACGTCATTGTTTACGATTTAGCTCTGAACACATATCTTGGGTTAGGTAGTTTTTTCGATCAACCTTAATGGTATAGTGAGAGTTCGAAATAGCTCAGTGGAAGCTCGAAGTAGTCGAGTGGTGAGAGTGCTAACTTACTGAGTGGAAGGTTCGAACCCAACCCCTGGCATCCCGAAAGGTGTTGCAACTGAGGGGTTATTTTTTTACGGAGGGGGGAGGGTGGGCGGTGCGCCACCTCAGTTTTTGTGTGGGAATGCTTGCAATCTTGGTACCGTGTGCCCTAAGCCTAAAACACTATCACTTTTAGTACCTAAGGAGGCCGCCAGTCTCTATAGATGATCAAACTATATGGTTTCTTACATGAATCTTATCTATGGATATCGCGGCTTGTGAACGTCACGGCCTCATGTGTACCTGCCTTCCTGCAGATGCTTCACTTATTGCCTGCGTCCTGACAATCCGTTCATAGTTTGCACCACAGCCATCAAACCAAATGTGACGATTATTGACCATCGTTTGAGTGAGTTAATGAGATCAAAACGACTTTCACGTTTGCCCTTTGGTCTTGTAGTTCCAGATTGAGTGGCGTCAAGACTGATCAGCACACAGTGTTGAGAAAACTGCATGTTTTGTTGACAGTGCTGCACGGAGTCGATCTTCTGTACCAGAAGCTTTTAGAGGCCAGTCATTTGTCACGTACTCCTGCGTAGGTGTTTTTACACTGGGTTAGTAATCGTCATTAAGTTGACAGTGGCTGAGCGTAGCACATTGGTACACTACTTCCACACTGTCTGGCGGTGATAGATAATTTAACAAAGTAACTGAATGCCATTTTTAATGATACTCGTTTATGCGTGTATACACCTAGTATGTGCTTCCGTGCATTGGCATTCCTAGCCGTACGATATCTTTATTCGTTCAAATAAAAACTTGGTCCAGGGACAATGAGAGAAACAATCGGTGTGAGAATGAACAGTCTTTAGCACCATCCACTCAGTCGGGCAACGATATCCCCGATCATCGGCGAAATGTTTTCAGTCTGATTGTCAGACTTTGCTAACAGATCAGCATCTAGTGAGCAGTTCCTAGCGACTAATATTTCAACACATTACCACCAACTTTGTAATACGGTCATTGCGCAATACCTTGTATGGCTTTGTATGACTTGTATTATTTGAGGTTGCGTACCACACTTACAACCTTATCGACTCGCGTTGGCCGTATAACTATCACAAGCTAAGCAACTTTGTACATCATTTCTCATGGTCTCCTCGTCTGACATAGTGAAGACCCAATCTTTTCGTATGATTGCAGTTGAACGATTATCCTCAGAATAACCGAAAGCTATCTCAATGGCTTTGGGCAATTTTGTTTCCGTAGTCTGTTAGATAACGGTTGCTCGTCACCCTGTAGATGTGCGGGTAAGGATTTGTTCAACCATGTCGCCGAGCCTTTGTGTATTCGGTTTCTCAGTTCCTTTTACATTTGCTATATCTACATCCCTCGAATTTCTGTTACATCACGTGAAGAACTCCAATTTTCACCTTTTCCAGTTTCGGTGCTCGCGTATGTGATTAGGAGATTGAAGCCCGCTAAACTCTTGCTCACTGTTATCCAGGTTCTCAGCACTATTCGAGAACATCGTGACAACGCTGGTGGGATTTATAAACGTTACCAGTTACTGAAGGTGGCTCGTATTCGTAATCGACGCCTGTGGGACCGTTATCTCCATCGCTGTGCAGAAATTAGCGAGGATAATTCTGGTCATTACAATGAACGTCTCCTCTTCCATGGCTCACCCTTCTTACAGGCAATCGTAATGAAGGGATTTGACGAACGTCACGCCTACATCGGAGGCATGTTTGGTGCTGGAATTTACTTTGCTGAAAACTCGTCCAAATCCAACCAGGTAAGCTTTGGGCTTCTGTGAAATAATCCGAACTTCCAAACTGATATGTTCACCAGAATAATAGAAAAAGAGTATAGTAGTGGTCATATATTCCTTACCCAAGCTTCATTTTGCTTTTTATCAACATTGTCAAGATCTAGATGTCACTTTGGTCGAGGATATGTACAAAGTACACCGGTTGACTCAAATCAATCAGATGCCCATAAGCTACAGTACGAATGCCAGTTTTTACGCCATTGAAAACGCAATGCGATGCTCGTGTATATTTGCTAATCGCGCACTACGAGACCACCAAGAAAAATTCATTCGTATAATGAAACAGAACTATTTGATTGAAAATATGAAGCGTAAACCTGCTGCAGCGACTGTACATCACAAACCCGGCCTACTTGGACAATTTCGTATCTAATTCAAAAGAATCACGATTTCTGTCGCCACTGGCATAATCACTCAGTTGTGTTTGCACCACAGGGATACAGGTTTGGAACCCATGGCTGAACATCAGAACTTCGGAGAAACCTCAGATGAAAACCTTTTAGTTTCCCACGACGCCATCAAACTCACTGACTAGTTCCACGGGTGACGGTCTTAGTTGGAAGTCTTACTTTTTTTAAAATTATTCTTCCTATGAGCTACTCACAGATTGGCAATAGTCTCTTGTAGTACAAGAAACAACGGGGTCGGCGCTACATTCCGTCATAGGGTGCCGGGGTGTCGCCCTTCAGTGGTGCTCTGCTGCGGGTTGTATACTTCAGGGTTGGGCATTCGTACATACACTTAATTTGATGGCACATTTCTACCCCCCCCCCCAGTTTTTTTGACTGATCAGCATCCTCACTACATCCTGACACGAAAAGGTGCAAATCATCCATTCCCTGCAGTCGTTACCGGTTTCATGTATGATGGACGCCGGGGTTTTACCAATGTTCGACTCAAACAGACCATCTATGCCTCTTACAGGGCGTTTTTAATTAACTGCGGTTTATAGTTCCTTATGCAACGTATGTGTTGTTTCATACCACGCTCTTATTTGTCATGTCTGTGTTGAACTTCGGTGATGCACTACCAGAAGCGAATCTTCATTAAGGGTAGTTCTCATTATCATTCTCTACGCCTGTGCCTGCGAACTGCGATCTACTGTAGGTAGTTGTAGAACATCGATCGCGCTTGGTTCGGTCGAATTACGATATATATCCTGTCTTGGTTGGCCTTTCGGTAATCATGACTGACCTGCATAAATGAAGTATTGTTACGAAAACAAAAAAAAATAATATTATGTATTTGACTGCATAAATGAGTATTGTTACGAAAACAAAAAAAAATAATATTATGTATTTGACTTCAGTCGTACTGAATATGGTATGGATATCGGCAACCACCATAGTAGTTTCTTTTCGGGGATCCCACCCCACACAATCGTTTTAGGGCTTTCTTCATGTGGTCTTAAGTCGACGGAATATTTCAATACCTCCCATGATCGGTAACCATCTATTCAATCCTGAAAGGATTCCTGCTCCAGGGTTGTAGCCTCTGACATAGTAGTTTTCCGGTCTATGTTGAACGCGATGTTGAGGTGATTTATCGTTTCATCTCTTAAGGAGAATTAGTTTGGAAATCTGACTACTTGCGATCAACGTTTTCGCGAACTTCGTAAAACATCAGGACGAAACGCTTAGTGTCCTTTTTGCGAGACCGGCCATAATTTGCCTGTATAATAAACGTGTTGTTTTTAGGCTGCACTAGGATCAGGTTAGAGGGCAGTATTTATGGGATTCGTGTTCGCTCTTTTGCTATTAAACCAATGAAAACCCTCTTTTGGGTCAGGTTTGATAGGTTTAAGCATGCAGCGCACACCGCATACTTGATTGGAGAGATTTTCCACAAATTTTGTGGTTTCTTGACATTGGTCATCGTGCCATGATGGCATGATAAGCTGTGTTGAGATAACTTACTATCCAGTACTTCACAGTTCGAACCTAAGCGTGCGCAGTGTTTTTGAGTCCCTGTAGGGATGAGACAGCTGTTTCGCTGACTAGGGCTGTGTGACTGTTCCCCCAAGATAGAAGATATGTTCGCATTTCCTTCTCGTTTGCTGCGTGCGTACCCGTTTTCGGTTGCTGTTCGCTTCTGTTGTAGGAGGTTCCCGCGTAACATATATCAGTATGCTAAACATTGCAAAACCTTAGGCGAATAGGGCCAGCATTTGACGTTCCATTACCAAAGCTTTTGTATAAATTGATGATTTTCGTGTCGCAATCCAATCACGTTGCGCTGTGATCGCTTCAATGGCATACGAATCCAGTGTAACCTTCATCCTCGCATTTGGGCTTTTGAAGAATCTTAACTGCGCATCCATTTCCATTTATTCCAGCAGAGTGCAGATCACTTAGACCGGAAGTCAACTGAGCCATGCAAAGAGAATTTAAGAAACATTATAATGGGCCGGAATTATTTTTATCGCAGTAAACCATTCGTCCACGTTGAATTGAGATGTAGCCAGTCATGTAAAACTTCCGACATCATGACATTGGTTGGATCTTGGAAACAGGTCTCAATCGAAATACACTAAAACCCTCCCACGTCGACGATCCCTTCGGAAACATAAAAATCAGAAAATGTGTTGCGTTCAAGCGTCTATCCATGAACTATGTATCTGAGTATGAAATAAATAAAAATAAAAATAAATGTGGTGACCGAACATATTGAACCAGTTTCTAGCATACATTTTCTGTCAGGCAGGTGGGTTCATGACAGATACTTGATGGAGCAGGCCAAAAGCGGTCACCACAGGGGCCTTATCGCAATGGAGATTCTTCACTGCATGAGGCATCATATTATAGGGGCATGATGGGTTAAAGAGCCACCCATTTATGACGTGGTTTGCATCGTCGAATTACTCACGCTCGATCCATAAAGCTTGTCCCCACAGGCTTTATTTGGTATCATGATGGAAAAAATGTTCAACTCGTAACTCTGCTGCCTAGTATGTCGTTTGTTATTAATTTGCACCTGAGCCTTCACTACAATTTGAGTTTGTGGATTGTTGGTTTCATTTTCTAAGGAGCGTAGTTTCCAGTGACAGGTTAATTTGAGCTCTCAATAAAGCTTTTAGTACCCGTTCGGTAAAAGGCACCTTCACCTGGGCATAACCTTGCATCGTTATGTCGTGATAACAGGTTTTCGCTACCACAAAGGGCTCTTCTGATTATTTACCGAACTGATTCGGCAATGTCTGATGCTATCGACCCAAGCAATACACTTTTTAATGAGCTCATGAAGAAGAACTGGACGGTGCAGTTATTTGCCTTTTCTGTGGGCTGGTTTGGAGGTCTTTTTTCTGGTTGGATGGACCGCTTCGGTGTAGACTGGGTGTCTTCATTCACTCTCTTTATGGATTCATGTCCTGGCGTATTCACTTCGTTGCAGTCCAAAGACAGGTTTATTTCATGCAGAGTTTGTTTCTCTCATTCACCAGCAACGTCTCCGTACGTTTGTATACTTGCCACATCTTAAATCGTCAAATTTCACCGTTAGTGGAGGCATGTTAATGTTTTCATTAGTATGCGTCGGCTAGACGAACTTGTTTTCATTTTTTTGAAACCTATCCTGAAATCTATGCCAATGCCCGTTACTACTTTTCCTCTGCAGTATGTCTATGGGATTGGTGGTGGTGCTGGCTGTCCTGCACACAAATCGCGGTCCTGCTACATTTGTCCCCGACAATTGCTCCTCTGTCGTGTCGCTTTGGGTCGTTCTTTCATCCAGTTTAATGCAATGAAGGTAGCTCATGCGCCTCCTGGTCACCATTCAATTGTCGGTCGTCCCAGTACTGGTGGATTGAACTTCGCAGAGTATGTGATTTACCGTGGTGAACAGGCCTATCCAGAATACCTGATCACTTACTTATTAGTGCCTCCTGATACTGTAGATTCATCAGACGTCTCATCAGGATCCAGCCAGAATGTGATCGGAGCGTCTGCGGCTAATGTTTTGCTTCTGACAAATTCCAGCGCAGTTGCTCCGGTTGTTCAACCCAGTCCAATGACAACAACCACATCCAGCCACCCGGTGTCTTTCGCCTCTTCGTCTTCTGCGTCAAACGTTCGTGCTCAACCGGTTAAAGTTGACCAGAATGTTGGCAGTAACGCCCCTACTGTTTCCACTACAGCTACGTTGTCTACGGTCCCCGCCGTAGCAACCGCACCAGGAGGTCCCTGTAGCCAGTCCAATCACTTCTCCAATCCGCCCTCTGAATGACTCGTCAGTGATGAATTGATTTTTCCTTCCGGTCACTTGATCGGTCATGATGTAGAACTTGCTGTTTTACTCGGTCGCTTCAAGATTTTGCCCTGGATCACAGTCTGGTCGTCATAAAAACCGCACGTTACAGCGGTGGGCGTTTTGTCTTTCTATCCAAAATACTTCTAGTACTGAGTCACGAAAACTGTTTAACAAAATCGATCAATAGTCTTTTTACTCCAACAATCAAGTTGTCTGTTCCACAGGACGAACGCCTCTTTGTTAACCTTTTCACTTATTCATCTCTATGTTTGCACTGGTTCATATGCGATCATTTTCAGCTGCCAACTAGTCGTCATTAAGCTTGGGTTTGTCTAGAAAAAGTAGTTGCTTGCATGTACATTCTCAAATATTGTCCCTATACCATGAACTTTTGTGTTTCCTTTTCGTGATCTCGTGGTCTCCAAGCCTGCGTTGTGATTGACGATTTGGTTAGCGTGCAAACGGCCAATTTAAACCGTTACCACTGGTCGTGCATCGCCCTATTCAGTTCAATGTGACATGATAATTATCCACTGTAGCCTCGTTCCCGCCACGGCTACCAATTTAGACTCACCGAGTTACCGTCATGAAGCCCCCCACAAGGTTTTCACTCAGTTTCATTTTGCGCACTACTGAGCAGGTCTTGAGCCGGTGTTTGTAGATTTGAAGTTGTCCGGTAGATGAAACTAAAAGCATTTTCTTTCTCTGTAGGTGATCAGTCTCGACCAGATTTGACGTTATAGCACTTGAGACCTATCACATTTCCTAGGCTTCCAGGCAAGCTTGCAGGCATTTGTTGGAACAAATCCTCATAGTTCCCCCAGTTGGAAATGTCAGGTTTCGCCCTTCTTTTGGTGGGACAAAGCCGTTCAAATGAGTGTATTGTTCGTTCGTGTCCATTTTCCATATAGTTTGCACTCTCTTCGGTTATTGCAAAAATGTATGGCGACAATAGCGTGAATTATTGGATTAACCAACCTAGTAACTGGGCTTCGAGCTTGGAAAAAATTGCTCAGTTGTAGCACCCTTTCGGTGCCTAACTGCCATGCCAGCCGAAGGTTGCATGAGGGCTGGGATACTGTCAGGTTGGTTGCAGGTCAGTAGCAGTTATTTGAGATATGAGACGGGGAAGCTGGTGTTTTTGCCACTTCACTCAATCAAGTCACAAACGTAGTCGATCATTGGTTTCAGGGGTACATTAATTAGTAATGAAACTACACAGTCTTCGTTGCCTGGTTCAGTCCATGAAATCGGATTCACCCCTCAAATGACACACTGACATTTCTTTCCTGATGAGTTCTGTTAAATCGATAAGTTATTTTGCTGGAGAGTGACTAAGAGTTAAACATATTTAGAGTGAGTCTCGGTGGTATTATCATCATCATTGTCGGCTGTAATAACTGCGTGCTTGTCGTACAGTGGTTGTAGCTGCCACAGTTTAGTTCGCCGATGATTCGGGGAAGTGAGGTAGGTAGCTGCGCATTGGAGGCGGGAGCCGATAAATTAGTGCGTAAATACAGCACTGTCAGTGGCCTGTTAATTGAGGTCTCAGTGGTAGATCGGGGTTATACACTTTTGGCAGAACATATAATCGAATTATTGTGGCACCGCTGATTTGCTTGGAGGTATGAGCATCGATGATCTCTGTGTACTTCGGCCTGCTTTGAACTTTGCAAGCAGCCTTCTAAATAACTTGAGTTTTGCCTCGCTCACTTTCCATCTTGAATTTCCGATGTCCGATAAAATGTTATTCATCTCGCTAATGTATACAGCTCCGTCCATTAGGACGAATCCAGCTCATTTATCAGGTTTAGAAAACTATATTTGATCGTGAGTCTGCAGACGGTTTAGGCGCTAACATATTCCTTTGTCAACAGCTGTTTGCATCTGGTCTTGTAACTACGGGATTGATGATAGGAATTGATCAATGTCGGTGTAAATTTTTCTATATTGAGCTGTGAAGTTGTTACTAGGTCGCACACACTGACTAGTTTTACTTCCAGGACAACAAAACTTGGGTCCCAGTTACAAGGCTTCCAATAATGCATGGTAAATCTTGATAAGGAAGTGTTGAGCACGTGCCTTGCAGTATTTTTGGGACTCTGAACAAGGTGTTACAGGAATCATTTGATATGCAAGTTCCCTTTTCCCTCATCTAGATTCATTTGGCCACAGTCAGACTGACGTAAGCATACGGGGTCTTGTTAGCTGACAAGGTTTCCAGAGCACCAGAATAGTGAGCTTGTTTTCGTTCTGCTCTTGGAGTGAAGCAAAGAATGGTGTGTATTCTCCAGAAGTGTTTGGGCAACTGATTTTGATGATACACTGAGTCACGGAAATGGAACGCTCCGCGTTAAGTTTCAGGTCTTTTTCAATTTACTTTAGCAGGTGTGGTTCTTTGGAGTGTCTTAGATCATGAGAAATGCCTGTGGAATTGCGATTAATGGCTACCCACAGCGATTCATTACAAAAGGCATAAAGTTTGCGAAACTACGACTCATAAAACTTTCTTCAGGGTAAGAACAGGGTTACCTCCTCTACTTAGAAGAGATTCAGTCGCTACTTTGGTTACAAGAACGCTAGGAAACGTAAAGCTGATAATCTACGCTTGAGTTTCAGTTTCACCATCCATCAGTTTCCAACCGGAAGACAAGCCGTCGAAGTCTGACACCAACTTTTACATGTACTCATTCGTATGCTCGTGTCGAGTATGGATCATACAACAAACGGAATACAGAAACACAAGTAAACACTTCACTGTGATAGGCTCAGGCGCCACAGCGTTACATCTGGCCGAAACTGATCATCTCAGAAGGAAAATTATTTTAGTGTCATTCTTCGGACACTTTCAAATCCGCCCAGATGATTTCACTTCAGATTGTAATTGATTTATTTCTTGTTCTCTTCAGTTGGCTGTTGTACCAAACCTTGGACAAATAGATCAGCACGTATCACGACTGTAAGGTTCTTCACAATGTTTTTACCAATGGTGCGGTTTGTTTAGCTTAGATAGCTTAGATGCTCGAGACCAACTGACCATGTGATGAGGCAGTTAGACCGTATCTGTCAATGCAGAGGATTGTTAAAACTTGTCTCAGGTGAAACCCAAAGTGGCACTGCAATATGTCATTCTAAATTTTAATTGCATCATGTCTCGAGAAACGCTCCGCCGTTGTTCGCTACCCGCCTAATTCCCGCAAGATTGGGTATCGACATTGGATTAATGGGGTGTCTGCCAGCTCAAGCAAGTTTCGAATCCACCGTTGTCATACACCAAAAATGCTTCAACACGAGCTGTTAGCTTCTGCGCTGGATTGGGCAACGCGTACGTAAAGTAACGAATGGAACTTGACAGTAAAAATTGGTTCAAATGCCTCTCTGATACTGAGGTTGGCTGTCCTTACCTATCGGATTTAATTTTTGCCCTTGTAAGCCGAGTTGGCTGAAATGTATTGTCCAGCAGATTTCGGCTTATATGTGATGGATGAGTTTATAGTGAGGTGGTGCACGGCAAGTGGCGATTTGATCCACGTATTTAAAACAATGATTGAAAATAGAGGCCTTGTTTCCTCTCCGGCACCACTTTGTGTCTTGGAACTGTTCATGGAAGGGGCACCTCAAGTTTCACCTTCAAAACAGCTATGATTGCCGCACTGGTAAAGCTCTGTACTCCTGGACTGCGCTTGTAAAACGAAGTAAAAATGAATGGCTGGCATCATAATAACATTTACCGTTCGACGGTAGGAAAACTGCTGCTCAGCCGGAGAACCATAGGTGGTTTGGTCACAGTCGAATTTGACGGTGCACACATGCTCATGAAGGCAATCTGGACTCGATGGCACAAGGCCGGCGGAAAAACAGAGAAGCCCTTTGGGAGTTATCAGTCGGTCCAAACACGATGGTGTAGCATGTTCACCGGAACCAGCTTTTTATCGTCCAGTTATCCATTTGCTACGGAGTTACAATTGTCTCGTTTTTTCAGGGAAATCGATACAACCTCTCAATTATAAAATCCCCATTTGGTGTGTCGCAGATCCTTGCCACCCATCGTATTCCTGTCTGCCTGTTCTAATCCTCATGAATGAAGTTCAAATGTGATAAAAATCCGGTGCGCACAATGGTGCTGAAGGCTAATTTTCGATATTCGCTGACTCTAGCATAAATAGGGTATGTAGGATCGATCGAAAGCATGCATCGGGCTGAAAATCGATAACGGAATCACATTTTTCATGGTGACGGGCTGTGTTCGCAAGTCACGTGGGGTTGTCTGGCGAGGTTGTAGTTCAGTTCTTGAGAGGGCATTTCTGCCACATTTGCGGCTTGTATAGATGTATGATGTCCGCCTAAGCGGTCGCCATATGCTTTGACCAGTACGAAAATTCCTAGCGGAGTTTTATAAACGTACTTAAAATATGTTATGAAATTGTCATCGTTGATGCCCGTTATCACACGACCAAGCTAGAATGGAAATTTTTATAACTCCACGGCGACATCGTGGGATCGCTGTTATCTTGTGCTCAGGTAGTGAAATAGACTGGTTTCTACTCAGCAGGTTACAAATCCAATCAGAAAGGAACGTCAGAATATGTGACGAAATCATCCGCAATAAGCCGGGCTATGAACAACAGACCTGGAGATTAAGCGCAAGTTAACCATAGAACTACCCAGTTTTTCCCTTCCATTGACCGATATTCTCAGGGTATATCTCCATCAATTCACCTCAGTTCTGACAATGCTCTGACTTGTTCAGGCTATGAGTATAAAGCATTTGAGCCAACAGCGAGCAGCCGACAGGCACTCGCCACGGGAAGCGTATCGGAAGCTTAGAAACAACAAGAGGTCTATTATCGAAGGATCAGACAACACAGCAGGTATAGTTATGCTGAGTAGAAGAGACCACAACAGTAAATGTATTGATTCTTTGTAGATATCACCTGTTCTAGACTGGGATGAACAGTATGGAAGTCCCTAACAAGGAGCTGACAAATGCTTTAAGAGAACTGAGGCTAAATTACATCATTAGTGCAAAGTTATGGCTTACGAGGAAACCCCGTACGTCCAGCGTCTAAGTCCGGTCTGTTCTGCGTCTAACTTTGAACAGCTACAGTTAAGCTCCTCGCAGCACCACTCAATCATCTTGTAATTCTTAGTCTCCGCGGTCAACATGACCGGTTAGCGTAGATGTCGAAGATGTAGACGCTTTGCCTAATTTCTACCAATAAATTTGTGTCGGAAACTGTCAACCGACATCTCCCAAGGTGCAAACATGTTGAGAAAATTGAAAAAGGGGCATTTCCTCGGCAGGAGGCAGCCTAGCCAAGTATTTGGAGTTCCATCAAGATGGTCCATACATATAGAGGTTATATAATCCCCATCGAATGCAATATTTTGTTGAGCGTTTGCAATGTTTACAAGCAAATCTCCCTGTGAGGGCACTGCAAAGTTTCAAGCCATGAAAATGTCATG